GGCAAAATCTCAGCGTCAAAACTTGCTTGTTTGTTTACTCTAAGAGACGCGCACACACACACACACCCGCATTCACTCATAAACATACACACGAACACTCACGTACACATAAGCATGCACACACATACACCATGTGTCGTCACAATATACGTCTTTGCACTCGCATGTATGCAAAAACGCATAAAAACTTGCGCAAAGATAATTTCTTCTCTTGATGAGCGGAATAGTGAGGAGTGCGGTTGCCATGCTGCTCCCATACATCAGCATCGCAAGTTTTGTTATATTCTTACTGAAACCTGAAATGGAATTTAACGGATGAATGAATATTTATATGCAGTATCACAGAGCTATCTGCAACAACAAAGCATTAGTCTTTGAGGACAGAAAAAATTTATACCTTCACCACGCATAAATACGAAGTATGCTGCACCGCCGAGTGGAGCCATGGTTATCAAATCCATTAGTTTATAGAACAGCGGACTCGTCGGTGCCCAGTCCGGCTTTTTTGTGACCTAAAAAAATCATTTTCGTATGTATTGAGGTCGTTGCACGGTTAGTCGGACGCTCTGCTGTTCAGACCAGATGGGAGTAGGCACCAAGGTTCGCAGTGCGATAGTTCGTGTTTACAAATTTGCCGTTTGTCGTACCTCTAGGCGAGAAGTTAAGGTCATGAAAACTGCTATTGTTTTAATGTCCTACATATTCAAAGAGAATTTTCGTAAAATTTCAGCTTCCACTGCCTGCCTGATTGCCGAGGAAGTAAAATGATGGGAGCGTTGCAATTTGTACATTTGAAATGTCGAAACATGGAGCACATACACAAGCCAAAGCTCTCTTAGCTTGCTGGCCCACTTTAAAATTGAATTCGAATATTTTAGCTGAATTCGAGTAATTAGCCATAGAATATCTCGGCTTGACTGTTTCGTGAAACTGCTTTTCGTTACAAATACCTTTTGTGTGTCCGAACACGCAACACAGGCATGTGTCAAAGCTCACTTCAAGCTGCCACGGCGCGATCAACCGTTTTTGTGCTAAACTTGAGGCAACCAGGTTGCTAACTGCGTAAACGGCTGTTGCTTTATATCCACTTTTGTACTCACTGCCATAAATACTCATTTTTGTCGATCGTTCTTTTACTGAAAATTACCTAGGTGCTCCGGTTCCCGAGCTAGCAATTTTTTTACCAAAACTTTTACGTGTCCGTGGGGGAAGTTTCACTTGTTCGCCGCTCACTGGCCCTTCGCATTACTGGAGCAGCTAGAAAGCTCTGCATGTTTACTGTGACTGACACAACTAGTAAAGTCATTTTTATCACTCTCAAAGATTTCGACTACGATGGGCGGTGGAGCGGTACTAAGTACGTGTGGACAACAACCATGTTCCGACGAATATCATTTGTATTGCGTGTATTGTATACATGATAAAATTATATTGCCCAAGTTTGATGTAATGGACAATTCGACGAGTGGGCCTGCGATTGGTTATTATTTAGCTACGGCAAAAAGACATTCGCTGGCTCGCCAGTCAATGCCTACTGTGTTCATATTGCACTGAGGGCCAATCGACTCATAAGGAATTGTGAAAATATTCACCGGCAGCAAAATTTGAAAGTTCTATTCTACAACAGCTCTCGAAAGAAAGAGTCACAGGTCTAAGAAAACCAGGCTGGAACGCACCAGGCGAGCCGGTGTGATCATGCTTTTTTGCACCGAACTTGAAGTAACTAGGTTAACTGCATAAACGGTTTTTTATGCGTTTTTGCATATATGTAAATTGCAAAAACGCATATTGGGAAGAGGCTGT